TCATCCTTGTAGATAGAAAATGTTGTGGAAATTGAAATGGCAAGTTTATGGGTAAGCTGAATGACAGAAAAAAACATGAAAGAAACTATAAGGGAGAGTGATTAAAGAGGTGGTCTTGTGGCATAGTGAGTAGCACTTTATACCAAAAACAAGTCACACAACCAAACAGGTTCAGCATCAATCTGCATATTCTTCCAAAATACGCCAATAGCAGACAGAGGAGAGATTTTTCGTCAGCCAAATAATGGAAATAAATCTGTCTCTACCATCATAATTCGTAGCACCAGATTTTAGATGCATGTAAAACTGCATGTTGCCATGATTGTAAATGCTGATTTCTTCCAGAGAATCAGGAGATGCTGGGTAGATTTGCTGCCAACAATCCTCCTTATGGATGCTAGTCTTAGCTAGTAGTACCATACAGAGAAGGACGCATAGACATCTTAGGCTCAACCTCGATGAATATTAAAGAGGCTTTTAAATATGTAGTTAATATCTACTCATATTTCATCTATTCTACATGAAATATCAGGCACCTTTATATACTGATAGACATGACAAGATAAGTTCTACCTAACTGTCTTATAAAACAGCCAAAGCAACTTGTAGAATCACAGAACCCCTACAATTCAGAAAGAGGCCATTCAGTCCATTCAGTCTGCTCCAACCCTCCAAAGAGCAAACTTCACGCAGACAGTCACTCAAAGTTGGAATCGATACTGTGTCCCTGGTGCTGTGAGGCAGCAGTGTTAACTACTGTGGCACTATGTCACTCCTAGGGAGCTGTGGCTCAGTTGACTGAATATCTGATGTGGATCATACCGATTGAACAGAATGGGGGATGATCCCTTCTTCAGTTGGGATGAATTCAGGACCTGTTTCAGAGATAGAAGGAACTGCAGATGCTGGAGAATCTGAGATAACAAGGTGTAGAGCTGGATGAACACAACAGGCCAAGCAACATCAGAGGAGCAGGAAGGCTGACGTTTCGGGCCTAGACCCTTCACAAGCTTCAAAATCTCCCCTCCCCATACCGCATCCCAAAACCAGCCCAGCTCGTCCCCGTCTCCCTAACCTGTCCTTCCTCCCACCTATCCCCTCCTCCCACCTCAAGCCCCACCCCCATCTCCTACCTACTAACCTCATCCCGCCCCCTTCACCTGTCCGTCCTCCCTGGACTGACCTATCTCCTCCCTAACTCCCCACCTACACTCATCTTTACTGGCTCCATCCCCGCCTCTTTGACCTGTCTGTCTCCTCTCCACCTATCTTCTCCTCTATCCATCTTCTATCCGCCTCCCCCTCTCTCCCTATTTATTTCAGAACCCCCTTCCCCTCCCCCACTTCTGAAGAAGGGTCTAGGCCCGAAATGTCAGCCTTCCTGCTCCTCTGATGCTGCTTGGCCTGCTGTGTTCATCCAGCTCTACACCTTGTTATCTCTGATTTCAGGACCTGCCTGTTTTGGCAGACAAAAGAAGAAAGGAGATGTGTTCAAAGAAAAAAAAAGCAGCTATTACTCCACCGGCCCTCAACCAAATCTCTTTCTCTTTCCTCCTATCTGTTTCATCCAAAGGACCCTGATTTGTTTTCTTAATTTGTGAAAGGTGAATGCACAGGGAACATATTGGGATCAAGGGAATGGATGGATGAATGGCAATAAACACAGATTATCAGTCCAGTGTGAGGACTAGAGAGATACAAAGCTTAAAAAAAACGCATCTCCGCAGTAACCCTCAATCCAAATGCAGCATACAGCCGCTGATGGCTTCTATCCCAGCACCTCCCAGCCAGAAGAAAAGTGAAACAGAAATGATAGAAAAACAAAAAATGTTGAAAGAGAAACGGAAGACCATAGAAACAGACAGAAACCGAAAAAAAATAAACACAGAAAAAGAAACGCGAAGAGAAACTGAAGCACAGAAACTGAAAAATGAGAATGATCATATTCTCCGACTGACCATGTGCAGTGCCTTGCGAGAGCAATCAATGTGGTGAAATGATAGTTAACCATTTCTAGAGCTCTACTGTAGTCAGATTATAAAACTGGCATCATAAGCTGCAACAGCAAAGCTACAACAATGTATAAACAGTAGCCAAAATGAAGTCGTAAACTCAGTTAAGAATTTGACACTAAATCTAGGTACAGTTGAAAAGAAAGTTCATAAGAATTAAATTGGCTACTTTTCATATAGTTATGCATTGACAGCATGCTATGTATATTTTTTAAAAACTGGTGACTTGACAACAGTGAAACAGAAAGGCCAGTACCAACAAAGGACCTGAAGATCGCATAATAGTTACCACAGCTACTATCTATTAAATGGCTTTTTCCCTCTGGCAGTGAATTACCAAAGAACAATATGCCCCCACTAATTGTTAACACTGTCACGTTTCCAAAGAAGTAGTACAAGCTTTCACTGCTGTAATGGAAATTACAGCACCGAAGATAGCCATTTTCCCAAGGTCAGCTGTATTAGTACTACATCTTCAACAAGAGCTACCTATATTCATCCTTCCTTTTCCCTTACATACACATAAATGAAATAGCATGGACTATCTTTGTCTCATCTGAAAAATATACTGAGTTCACATCTATACATACCCTATAAAGATTCCAAATCTCAAATGGACCGTTCAAGGAGGCACTACAAGCTTACAGAATATTTCCCAGAGAGTAGTTGCAGAGGACTATAGGAAAAGAATGGTGTGGGGAGTGTAGCATAGTTGTAATGATGCATAACATGAAGCATAAAAGAGGAAAATAGTTGTTTTGAAGACAATTAAGTGTCAATAAACAAATACTTCACAATGGGTAGACAATGACCTAGTGGTATTATCACTAGACTGTTAATCTAGAGACCCAAGTAATGTTCTGGGGACTTGGGTTTGAATCCCACCGTGGCAGATGGTGGAGCTTGAATTCAATAATAATCTGGAATTAACCATCTAATAATGACAATGAAACCATTGCCGATTATCAGGAAAAGCCCATCTGGTTCACTAATGTCCTTTAGGGAAAGAAATCTGCCACCCTTGCCTGGTTTGCCTACATGTGACTCCAGATCCACAGCAATGCGGTTGACTCTTAACTGCCCTCTGGGCAATTAGAGATGAAAAAAAAATGCTGGTCTAGCCAGCGATGCCCACATCTCATGAATGAATTAAAATAATGAATCATTTAAACTATAACAGAATTCACTCTAAAAGCATCGTTGCATTGTAAAATTGTTTAAGACCCAAAACAATCATTTGTAATATGTAAACATAAACCCAAAAAACTCCTCCAGTACGTTGCGCAGTGCAGAAAGCTATCAAATTTTACCTAATTGAGGGGCAACCTGGACGTCGCAGCTGCACTTTCTAGCTTTAAATTCTCCACCCTTTTTTCCTCTTCTGTTGCAAATGGTCCATTTCCTGGTCATCTCTGTGGCCGTGTTACTAGCAATTACTTTGGTCTTTTGAAACATTGACATGTCAATAAGTTGCAAATGCAACATGAAGCAATAACACGGTTTATTTTCTTGGAATCTGACAAGAGATACCCATTTCACCATTTATGGGAAAATCTCTTACAGACGTTTCTAAGCTTCTCATTCACTGGAGACATTCCAGTCTCCCATTTCCACACAACAAACTATCACCCAACAAAACCATAATAGCCTCTTACTCAGTTGCGCTTATTGAATAACACCATTGATCTGTTGATGTTGATAAAAGTAATTTTTCCCCAAACATTCAGTAACTTTTTTCTATTTGTACGGTTAGGTTAGTTTGTCTGCACAAGGAGTTGAGCAGGTACATCAAAGACACAATGACCAACGGCAGTCCTGCCATCTTGCTGAAATGCACAGAGATAGAAATATAGGTCAACGTTGTTGTGGGTTTTGTCTCCAGTCGGAAATTTTACCTGATACGGCAACGTTCATTCTATCCCTCGTATTATGAGAATTTAGGCTTGGGTAACATGGTATTGAAAGATCCAACAGATGTTTATTACACCTCACTAATATATACAATTATTACATTCATAGGCACCTTGGTGTCTGGGCTAAAGTTAAACTATGAAGTTCAGCCTTGCGCTTTTAAACCAAAGAAAAAAAATCAACATGCTTTGAGTGGATGTGTATAAATCTTCAGAAGAGTTGTGTTAATTTGTACAAAACTCATGTATCTGCTTTGGTGCAAGAATAAGGACTTCATTACTGGATATCTATTTCATTCAAGAGGTATGAGTAATGGTTAGTTGGACAAGGTACTTGAGATAGAAGAACAAATTGGAAAGAAGCTTTACACAAAAAAAATCATCCTACAGTTACCCTTCTTAATTCTACTATTACTACTACTATCATTTTACATGGCCGATATAAACGCAAATATTGAGGGGTGAATCTTATAGAAGTGTATAAGATCATGAGAGACATGGATAGGATGAATGCATTTAGTCTTTTTACCCGGTGGAATCGAGGGCATCAGTACAAGGCAAGGGGGAAAGAATACATGGGAACCTGACGGGCAACTTTTTTTTACACAGAGGGTCGTACGCATATGGAATAAGCTGCCAGCAGAAGTGGTTGAGGCGGGTACATTAACAACATTTAAAAGGCATTTGGATGAAAACATATATAGGAAAGGTTTAGAAGGATATGGGCAAGTGCAGGGAAATGGGGTTAGCGTGGATTGACATTTTGGTCGGCATGGATCAGTTTGGAATAAAGGGCTGACTCCGCGCTGTAGGATTCTGGCCCAATAACTGAATTTTCCCAACTCAAAAGAAGGTCACTTAACAGAGAAAAAAATGCCTTTAAAAGTCATATAGGTTCTTCTACTGACTTGGATAACATAAGTCGATGTGCTGTTCAATGTCTGTAAAACTGACGTTAGAACGGCACAGTTATGAATGTTGCACGAGGGAGGCTGCAGAGGCAGTCGCCGTCGTCATCCCATCCCGACTCGGCAATCTGTCCAACTCTGCGACACAACGTACGTTGCGTGACTGCGCACGAGGAAGTTGGATTGGAACATCTTGCAGAGCGAGCGCAAGTTCCGGGAGATGTTGTTAAAGTCAGTGGGTAGCAATCGGGCTAGTAGTAGTGGCTATTGCATGCAAGGAGGCTGCAGAATTGGCGCTTCTCAGCTCCGATCACTACGACACGTTCTTTGGACACATTGTCGCGGTTGTGCGTTTCTCCAAGTAGAGCAGCTCAAAGGGCAGGCCTAATTGCTCTCGTTTTCTTAAAGAAAATCATTCGTAATTCAATGAAGTTAGATCGAGTACCTGAAACTTTAATTGCTTCGGCTCTCCCGGGATAGGCTTGCTCTTTCGATAACATTTGAATTCGCGAAGTCATTATAAGTCCTACTCTGCCGTGCAGAAAACGCTGCCAGATTCTCACTCGCAAGAAAATCATGTGAGGAAGTTCTAACAGCCGTGCTCAGAATGAAGCCTTGCTGGGTAATCTTTACGTGACATGCTTTGCCCTTTCTGCCCTGCAGGTGCATGGGATGTATTTTATGTATTCTTTTTTTTTCCTAAAAAGGATATTCTATATTAACGAATCGCTTTTAGGAAAATATACCTTGTGAAACTTTTTAAATGCAGGATCATGTTGTGGCAGCTCCCCTCCATTCTGTTTGTCAATCCTGACTCCTCATTTCGACATTTTTCCGGATAGTTGCCACTCCTCCCATGCCACACTCGAACCCAGCTCCTCAAAATAGCATGGAAGCTTGCCACGATCTGTAGAAATGTTTCTCCAGAATGTATTTATGTGCCGCAAGCAATAAAAGGTATTATCATGTATATTACATTTAAATGAACCTGCTTAATGATACAAGATCATAAAAGGTCCCATATTTGGATGATGTATTTGGGCATAGATTACATTAGTCCATGTATTAACCCCTGCCATCTATTACTAGAATGTAATAGTACTTTCCTGTATTACCCTATAATTTTGCTCAATTCTCCCAGACTGCTGTACTGTGCAAAGTGATCCTGCTCCCAGACTGTAGGACACCTCTCCAGCATTACCAACCCGTACAGTTTCCATTATTGCCACTCCATTCCCAAGTTGTTATCCTAGTTCTTACAATCTACCTATTCAACCAGTGAGAATGTCTTTTCCATTGTTTTATATTTACTTTAAAAATTAGCATAAAAACCAAGGAAACCCGAAGAGTTGTGTTCATGCAAATATCTGTAACACCAAATAATCTCAGCAAAACACTAATAGCACTGTATTAAAAAATTCAATTTGACATGTTTAATTGCCATAGGTTAGTGATCCTGATCATTATTATAAAATTTCATAGCATAAAACAGTGCAATTTTCTGTCGCCATCCCACAGGAGATCTGCTGGAACTACTGTGCCTGCTAGTGTATATTTTTCATACAGTATGCACTCATGTAAATGTATCTTATCTCCGTTAATATATCCCTGTTAAGCATAACCTGTATTATCCTTAATTCCTTATTGAGTTCTTCTAGGTCAGCTTTTAAAACAGGAACCATGTCATGCTGTGCTCCACATATGCCATCTGCCTGCAGCCTGTAAAAGAAATGGAGTCATTCTCCCCCTGTAAGTCATTCTGCTTCTGCTGATTTAAGAAGAACAGTTATACATATTGTACTATTTTATCATTTTGAAATCCACCCTAGAAATTACATCAGGTTCATGGTTAACATGTTATTGGATATTCCTTTGTACGTTTTTAAAACAAAGCATTAAAGATGGCCCAGAAGGAGAACATTTAGTATGTCACATCAATGCCAGCCAAGAAAGACCTATCCAGTCCAATCCCACCCTACCATGGCTGAATGTGCATATCCAAGTATTTTAAATGTGAAGAGGGTTTCTACCTCTACAATTCTTTCAAAAATTAGCTCCAGATGCCACCATCTTCTGGTTAAAAAAAATCTCATCAACTCTCCTATGATCCTTCTGATAATTGAAATCTGTGCCCCTGATCATTGACCTCTCTGCAAAAACTAATTCCTTCCTATTCACTTTCTCTTTGGTGTCATAATTTTATATATATTAATTAAATGTCCTCTTATTCACTTCTAATCAATGGAGTTTGATGGAGTAACAGCCAGTTTAAAGTAAGTAGATTGATGCTTGTGTTAAAATAATGCACCAACAACCGCTGAACAGCACTTGTAAGTAGTAATTTCTAGACTCAAGTATAGTAAGAACCAAGAGTCAAGAAACAGTTATGTCATTTTGTCAGTAAATTACCACACTATGCAGTATTCATTGTGATCAGCCCAAATTTGGGGTATGTAACTATAAGGAGGTCCATTTATTTTTTAGTATCAGTTCCACTAAACAAGTCATAAAACATGTAAAAGTGCCTGCAGTTAATAGTCTTGAATGGAATGTATTTTGATGCATCTTTTGTTTCGGGCTAGGGAAAGAAATAATGTTGCCTTAAACAGTGCCATGTGATTGACAGATTCTTTTAATGCAGAATGATGAGATGTTCAAAATCCAAGATCTCCCAGTGTATCTTTTCTATAATCTAAAATCAGGCTGTTTTGTTCAAGTAGAAGTGTTTAGTCTGCCCCCATCATTCCGATAACTCCCTATTTGATTCTTTTCAAACAGATTTATTCCCCTGCCAAGCAACACAACAATCATTACCAAAGTTATAAATAAAATCTTTGGTGTCTGGACCTAATACATTTTCTCTCCTTGTCCTCTAAAACCTCTTTGCAGCCTATGATATAGTTAGCCATACCATCCCCCTCCACCATCACTCTGTCTATCTCAGTGAGCTACAATCTCTTAGCTCTAGTCTTAACTATCTCTGATTATGGTCAGAGCATGATTTTTTTCCTGTGTGTGAATTGGTACTTTTAAGTTTCACCTCTGGCCTCTTAACCTTGTCTGCATGATGCCTTTGGTGGCATTATTCACAATAGTGCATCAACTTGCACATGCTTTTGCTCTCCATCACCTATTCAAATACAATAATAAATTTAGATGAGACTGAAGCTATTGACTTTGATGCCATCATGAATGCCTTCAAATCTAGCCCCTTTTTAGACACTTTCAGGATAAACTCAGCTGTTTGAAACCTGTGGAAATGTCATTTAGCTTCCTCTCCACCTTAGGCCATCTGTTGCTGAAACCCTTACCCTGAGCTTTGTAATCTCCAGATCAATTACATCAGTGTTTTCTTGGCCAACCTACCACAAAACTCTCGCAGAATTTCCATTCAGGTAAAACAGAACTTTCCTTTCACAGAACTTCAATTCATGTAAAAATTAACATAAAGTATCCTACATTGTGTGAAATTCAGTTCATTCATTGCCATATTTTGGTCCTCTGATTGGCACTTGGTCCCAAAAGCCAAAAATTTAAAATTCCTATCCTTGTGTTTAAATCTCTTCAAAGCCTTTTTCAATCCTAACATTGCAAAACCCACATCCCAATGATTCCACTCTTCAAACTCTTGATGTTTAGATTGATCTTTCTTTTGTATATCTGCTATTCCCTGGGGCCCAGAATTTGCAGATCTTATGCATCCAGGTCCTGTAGTCTCAAGTAACTCACTAAACCTCTGAATCTGTTCACTTCAGATGCTCCTTGAAGACACTCCTTTAAAACCCAACTCTTCACCCCATCTCTTCCCATATTTGGTACTGAACAGTTGTTTGCAATGCAATAGAACCAAGTAATCAGATAATAATTCATGAATGTTTAGTATTTTTCTGGTCTTCTCCACTTCTTCCTTTTATCTAAAATGTTTCAGACATTCCCTGAAATGTAGCAAAATTCTGCAAATGGAAATCAAAAACAAAAATTAATGGTGTTTGAAAAGCTCAGCAGGTCTGGCAGTATGTATGGAAAGAGAAATGTTAGCATTTCAAATGAAATAGGACTCTTCTTTAGAACCAATGAACTTCAAAACCTTGAACTATTGCAATTCCCTTCTTCCTTAAAGTCCAGCCAGATTGGTTCCCCCCTTCTGACTTACAGACAGCCCCCAATCTTCAGTCTGCTACCAAGTGGACCACAGAATGTGCTGCTGCAGTCCTGACAGTATCAGTTTAAATGGACATCTGGGCTTGTTCAGAATTAGGACTAGCACCCATCAGCTAATTACTGATCCTACAGTTTCACAACTTTAGATTTTCCAAACATGTGGATATCTGAAACCAGTTGATTTGCCAATACAATGTGGTGAGATTTTGTGCACATTTAACAATACTTCTCTCCCAAATTATTAATTCAGTTCACATGTTAATTGGTAAAAACAAATGAGGTGAATGGAATGAGATTTTCTTTTACAGAAGACCCTTGATTTAATATCTTTCTTATATCTTTAGATATGTTCATAGAGAGAACTCAGACAATATGATAATAGACAAAATCAAAGAAGCAACAGTTCTGGAAGATACCTATGATATTTCACACTGTGGGGAAATGATCATATGGGAATAAACAAAGATATTGGAGGAGTAGAAAATCTGGGGATTGAAAAAGTATTAGTTTAGGAATGAACAGAAGGGCTCCAAAATGATGAAGGAGAAATTTTTACAAGGTATGGATTATCCAAGGAAATACTATCAGCACAAGATTAAAATTTTATGTCTTAAATAATCAAAGGAATAATGAATAGTTTGCAAATAAAGCAATTTACAGTTTTGGCTGACCGACCACAATCCCAAACAGCAATGGGAAAATGACATCAAACTTTAAATGTTATCATTACAGTTTATTGTCAAGAATGTCTAAATAATTGGGATAAAAGAATTCCTTTGGCACTGTTAGGGATGCCCCAAATGAATCCACAGGGTTCAGTTTCATGAGATAATAGGAACAATTAAATTGATTAAAGTAAAATTTAGAAATCAAAACTTAGAGATTACACTTCTGTCCTCTGTGTCAGGTTTCCAAGAATAAGTTAACCAAAGCTTGTGAGTTGGCCGAAAGCATTTGAAAACTGTGCTTGAAAATACAAACTAGTGAAGACTAAAAGTCCAAATATCGAAATTTTGTTGCTGGAGACAAGATGTTAGTATCATTACTTGTCTGCTGGGAACCCATTAAAAGCAAGATTCACTGGACCTTAAATCAAAATGAAATTCAGTGACATGTTAGAGAGGGAGTGCTCCAGACTGGAGGAAAAAGAAATCAATGACTGTATCATTTTAATATGCTAAAGAGAAACTAGGGAGCATTGTCAAGAGTAACATGTATTTATGGTGTTGAAAGAAATAGGGAGTAAAATAAAAATATCAGAATGAATCCAAATTGTGTATTCCAAAGTCAACCCTTTACTGAGAAAACTGGATTAAATGGTGATGCTTAAAAATGAGGATAGTACAGTGGCACAGTGGTTAGCACTGCTGCTTCACAGTGTTAGAGTCCGAGGTTCAATTTCAGCGTTGGGCGACTGTCTGTGTGGAGTTTGCCAATTTCCCCATGTCTGTGTGGGTTTCCTCCGGGTGTTTCAGTTTCCTCCAACAGTCCAAAGATGTGCAGGTTAGGTTGATTGGCCATGCTAAATTGCCCATAGTATCCAGGGGTGTGCAGGCTAGGTGGATTAACCATGGGAAATGCAGGGGGAAAGGGATAGGGTAGGGGGTGTGGGTCTGAGTGAGATTCTTTCTGGAGGGTCAGTATGGACTCAGTGGGTTGATTGGCCTGCTTCCATACTGTAGGGATTCTATTCTATTTAAAAAAAAGTTAGACGGAAGGTGTAACTCCTATACCTTGTACAAAACTATAGCAGTGACTTTCGAAAGCTATTACAGACTCATTTATCAATTTGTGTAAATAGGCCAGGAAACATGTCTTTGGCTAGAGATAATATATCATTAATGCATTATCCATAAAAGAGCATCTTTACAGATTCAGTCCTAATTCTCAGACTTCACATAGTACATATTATAGTTGTCAACTCAGAAAGTTAGGAGCATACTCAGTTGACTTTTTCTGGGTTTTAAGAATATTTTTGATTCATTGACATTCATTCTCTAACTCATTATGGATAACTAGAATCTTGCTGTAGTTACCTGTACCAATGAAATAATTGTGTGTGTCTCATAGTGCCAGCAACACAAGAAGGGACAGCGTCATCTTCCCATGCAAGCCTTAATCTTTGCAGGATCAGATTGACAAGAAACCCAAGAGTTAGACTTTCCTGTGTTTAACACAGTACAACCCCTATTTATCATTGTTTTGTTCTCTTCCTGCTTCCAACTGTGCCGGCTTTCCCCCACCTTTGCACTTACTTAAAAACTGTTCATCTGGAATATCCTTCTGTTATGATGAACAGTCATCAACTGAAATATTAATACTGTTTCTCATTCCAGGGGTTTAGATGTTTCAAAAGAGGTGGGGGAGTGGCATTGATAATGAGGGGTGGTATCGCAGCTGCAGAAAGGGAAGTTGTTGAGGAGGGTTTGTCTACTGAGTCAGTATGGGTGGAAGTCAGAAACCGGAAAGGAGCAGTCACTTTATCAGGAGTTTTCTATAGACCCTCCAATAGCAACAGAGATACTGAAGAACAGATTGGGAGGCAGATTTTGGAAAGGTGCAGAAGTAATAGGGTTGTTATCATGGGT